TTCAGGTATAAACAAAACCAGCGTTATAATTTATTTATCTCATACATTGACTGATACCTTGTGGGCAACTACTACTGCCCAGACAAGTTAGTTATTTAATAAGTTGATAAAAAAATGTATATAAAGTAATGGGGGTTTCGGTTGGATAATTTTGTAATCTGAAAATACGATCACTGAACGCTACGTACAGATCTGCAATGGAATATTTTTGCATTGTAGTGCTGATTGTTGGATAACATTTAAAAAATAATGTTTAGAATAAACAGACAAGGAGAAGCCAACGAACCGTTTTACGAACACGGGGTGAAAAAAGGTCGTTGTCGAAGTCTCGTGAATCTTGAATATAAAATTTTGTACTACACCAACTTATATATTTTTTTCACATATAAACAACATACCCATTTCACTGCCTCGTTCCGCGATCCTTTAATTTCAACTTGTTTGACAGTTGGTTTGTTTAGAATTTCGTGCAAAGCTACACGAGAGCTATCTGCGCTAAGCGTTCCTAATTTAGCAGTGAAAGACTAAAGAGAAGGTAGCTAGTCGTCACCATCCACTGGCAACTCTTGGGCCACTCTTTTAGCCACGAATAGTGGGATTGACCGTCACTGTATAACGCCCCCACGGCTGAAAGCATGTTTGGTGGGACGAGGATGCGAGTCAATTCAGGATGTATTGCTACTTTTACTTCTCCGTCATCGTCACATTCTTCAATCTTTCAATTCTCTCATTTTGTCTAAATAGCAGAACATTTGCTATTAATTAACTTACTTTTCTAACATCCATAATTATTTTAGCCTTAAATATCGCTTAAATAGAAATGCTTCAATGTTGAAATGAAATAGTCCATAAGCAATGTTAACAGTTTTCAATAATATAATTGTATCGCTATTGTCATTCGGGTTTTGGAAAGGATCCGATTTGGCAACAATTTAGTTTTTAAAGCTACGTTTGACTGTTGATATAATAACAATTTAATTAATCTGCTGATTACTATATAAAAGTATTGACGTAATTTAAAATGCTGCCAAATGAAACAAATGAGACGACTCGTGATAGCTATCTACCAACAAAAAAATTCAGAGCGAGTTGCTTAACTATTATTATGCATTCAAGTGACGACACGCGTATGTATTTTTGGCCCTTCTTTCTTAGTGGTATTACGCCCATCGAATTCTCTGCTGGCAATAAATTGGACACACAACAGATTTGTTTAATTTTCCACGAGTAGTATTTATTTGCAAAAGCAGGCGAAGTAACATAGATATCGGAATTTGGTTGCAGGTTGCAAATGACTTGGATTACGAGGTCCACCAAACACGCACGTAGGTAAATATCCACGTATCACAAGAATTCGACTTGGTTACCCTTGAGTCGCTACTTTCTCACATAAGTTGTAAATCAACAGTATCTGTAAGCTGTGGTGTCAACAGTTCCTTGCCCTCGGCGATATCGAAGCAAGAGAACAAGTTGAAACATTTCTGTCTATAAACCGGTTTATCAATGCAAGGCCTTGAACTTGACCAAGCCATAACTGTATGGAAAAGTGTTTAGCGAAGTATTCTAACGTCTAAAGTTCTATTTAACCTCTAGATAACATAAGAATGAATTCTAAACACATGAACCAACTTCTTCGACAAGGAATAATCACGGATCATGTGTGATACTATAAAGCACCAGTGAGATTGGGAAACTGAAAGTTAAAAACACTAAATCCTAGCAGGACATTGACACGGAAATACGAAAATATTCAATAGAAGACTCGGTGGACCGTGATGTGCAACTCTAAATCAGATAAAGTTATGAATACAGTTTAAAATAAATGAAAACTTGTTTACATGTGTGTATACATGTACATATAAATATTATATACATATAATTATATTCCTTTTAAACAAAGAGGTCTATTTCACACACGTATGCGCAAAATTAGAAAAATAATAATTATTTGCATCGTGAAATAAGAGTATAGAAGCGTCCCACACTACAGTTCTGAGCTTTCACATTGGCAGCTGTAATTTTAGTTTTTACTTTTCTTTATGCTTACACTCGAATTGTCTTTTTTCCGGTACAAATGGTAGACTTCCTCCAAACTGTTGCAAAGTTGAAATAAGTTTTTACGTGAGGCATGCGCAAATTAAAACAGAAATAACAAGAATAAAGGACAACAGCTTAACGCTGTATCATTCAAAAGTTAAAAAATATAGTTATTTTCTCCAATTGCATCTACAATAAAATGCAAATCTGCATCCTAATTATCAAGGAGGTCCGTTTTTAAGGGGGGGAGGTCGTAAATCCATAGATTAATTTTAATTTACTATATGGTAAATAACAAGTAAAGAAATCATACACATATTTTTGATACTATATGGATCTGGATTTTGAAACACAAACAAAAAGAAATTTGCTATTTCTGTTGATGTTTGGAAGTCACCTGCAACCAGTGTCGTTCACCAAGAAATGAACATATGTACGTTTTTTAATTAGTTTTGTGATATTGTACTATTATTGTTCTGTTTCCAAACTATTTGACATTTTTAAATTAACTCGAATATATAAATTTTATTATTTGTTTGTTATGAATTTCGCGCAAAGCTACACGAGGGCTATCTGCGCTAGCCGTCCCTAATTTAGCAGTGTAAGACTAGAGGGAAGGCAACTCTTGGACTACTCTTTTACCAACGAATAATGGGATTAACTGTCACGTTATAACACCCCCACGGCTGAAAGGGCGAGAATGTTTGGTGTGACGGGGATTCGAACCCGCGACCCGCAGATTGCGAGTCGATCGCCCTAACCACCTGGCCATGCCGGGCCTAATTTTATTGTTGCTAAACAATCTAATAATTTTCATTTATCTAATAAACTACGTATGATTAATTTCGTTACATCTAAACATATTAACATTTTAGTCTTATTTAGAAAAGATATGTTATTAAATGCATTGTATTTTTATATTTTTATTTATATAGAAATAAATATTTATCATCGATGTCATTGTGTTTAAACAGTTCTATACTTTTATTTATATAAAAAATTATTATTTTTAAATTCATTGTATTTAAACAATTTTATACTTCTATTGATCTAGAAAAACACTTATTATTCAATTCATTGTATTTATACAATTTTATGTTTTTATTTATATAAATATAAATATCTATCATTGATGTCATTGTATCTAAACAATGGGACACTTTTAACTTGATCTAGTAAATTAACAACGTTTGATCTCCTTGTTTCAAAATAATCTGGTAATTCTAATTTTATCTATAAAATATATTTATGATTAACCTAATTGTATTTTAACAGTTAAGCTCATTGTATTTGAACAGTTTGACACTTGTAATACTGTCCAGAAAGATTTGTGACATTAATCTATTTATTTTAGTTCTTCGATATTTTACATTTTACGGGATTTTATTTTATGTAACGTATATATATATAATAGTCGTTTTGTGATGGTCTAACATATATATATATATATAATAGTGGTTTAGTGATGGTCTAACATACATATATATATAT